TACTGTTCTGGCTTACATACAAATTCAACTTAAGGACAGACCTTGGGAATGGAGCTTGTTCTTAAACTGGGGACTACCTGTAGTTATTTGTGAGACTCAAGGCAGTGTATAATAAATATCCAAAACATATTAAAGCAATCCTATGTGAAGATCCTCTACTATCATTGCATAATTATCATAGCATAAATTTTAGTGACAGTGGAATCATTGCAGATAGAGTTCCCTGAAGCAGCAACTCCCAATTGATCTCAGATCATGAATCATGTTGAAAAAGGTGGTTGCGAAACAGTGGTTAGCCATTCTGTGATGGAATAGTTAATAACCAACATCTTGAATTTTATTTAGGAATGAAATAAAATGTACTAGATAATTTTATAAATGGATATAATAAAGAGCTTCAGATATATCGACTAATATATATATTTATTAGTTGATATATCTGAGATATATATTGAGATTGAGAAATATACTTCTCAAAGAACACTGATTTCTATTTTATATTTCCTTTCTCTGCTGAAGCCTACTCAGACTCAAAGCGTAGAAAAAAATGTGAAGGTGCATAAAGAAGAAGAAAGTGCCAAATTAAAAACATCTGAGGGTAAAAAGGTACTGTTGACACTGCTTATGTTTATTTGTACTAAGAAATCAAAGTAATTCAGGATATTCTAATCATTTATTAAGATAATTTAGTTAGCCTGAAAATTAAAAAAAAATAAAATTGAAATTAAAGTAAGATAATTTAGTACAGAGTTAGCTTGAGTAATTCAGTAATAATTATGGGGGTGGGAGATCATTAAAGTTAGATATTTTCTCTGTCAAGCCTGATGAAACAAAAAATTCACAAAATACTATTATTGACTAAATAATTTGCTTAGCATCTGGTTCAGGGGTGGGTAACCTTGGAACAGCAGCTTTTTGATTATGTGGTGATGGTGCTGCTAAAATTTGGTAGCAAAAGGCACAATACTCAGCAGTACATTCACACCAATTTGGGGGAAAGAATTGAAGGAGGAAAATGAGAGCAACTTTCTTCCTACTTCACATCTTTATTAAAGGTATTAAAATACACTGCAGAAATTTTGCTGCTGAATTTGGGGATATGATCTTAGGGTGCTGGACAGTATAAATGGAATACATAGGTATTCAAGATGCACAGCCCACAGGTAGCCATATTCTGTTTTTTCTGATTATAATTTCACTTTTCTAGAATAAAAGAAACCACATTGCTTATTAGAACTCCTTATTCATGCAGCAAGTTGTAAAATAATTTTGGCTTGCTCTTACATAGTTAATCCGTAGTTTTGTTGATCATCAAAATATCAGTCAACTACCACCAGCCAATGTTTTAAGCCATTGTTCTATATAAGAATATAGAGTTTGCTTGTTCAAGAAACAGATTTGATTATATTCTCTCCATCCCCATTTAGACTACTGTTCTTCTGTTTCAGCCATTGACACTTACTTCACCAGTTCTGTCTTCATCACCACGACCAAGTTCTCTTCTAATAAATGCAATTGCTGGAGAAGCAAAGCTTAACCAGGAAACAGTTGAAGGGGAAAAACTTTCTCTAGAAGAGCTCAGGTCTCAGATCTTTGATCTCCTGTTGGTTGTAGAAACCTTGAAAAAAGAGCATGGGTAAGACCTTTTCATTTTTTTCACAATGGCTTGCGTAAGTGAATTAGGCATCATGAAGTCCTTCTGATATTGTTGTACTACAGCTCCCATCATCACATGCCACTGTTCTTGTTAGCTAGGGTTGACAGGAATTCACCATCTGGAGAACCACATATTATCAATTCCTACTATAAAGGATAGAGATGAAAAACCTACTGTATTTGTCATATTAATTCAATGTTTTTGTACATCTCCAGGATTAATTCTAAAATATTTTATATTTATTTAGTTTGTTGATAAAGGGCTAACTGAAACAACTTTACTATGTTCACAAATGAATAGGCTTATCCATGTATAAGTATTGCAACAGGAATGGCTGAGGCTTTATTTTCGTTTGCTATTTTCATATGTTATGTTAGTAATATGTGAGTGCATACCAGAGAATGATAAGTTACTCATATGGTCAAACAACAGGCTGGATGGAGAAGTTTTAAGCCATTTCAGTTCACTGGGTGAGGGAGATTCTGCACTCAGATAAATATGCTCCTTCTGGTTCATGGAGGAAGTTTCGAGGTGGTTAACACTTGCTCATACTTCTGCTCTTAATCTAAGTCATTCCTACCTATATTTGGAAGCTGTTTATCCTTTAAACCAAGATCTAACTGGTATATTGTATACTTTTGTTCAAACTACATAAGGTGGTTTTTCACTGAAGTTTTTTGTGTATGTATCCAAATTTTAAAGGAAACAACTGGAAAAATTGAAAAAAGACTTGGAAGAAGAAAAACAGATGCGAAGTAACCTAGAGGTAAAATATTTAAATAGAAGTCACAGGAAACTTTATTTTCTACAGATCCCATTATTTTCAGTACAGTAATGTGAATACTTAGCAAGAACATAACAAAATGGCCATAGTAAAGTACTGCATACTTTGACTAGTTTAGGCATCTAATTTCAGGGAAAGGGAAATGATGTATTTTTACCATTTTTCCTCCTATTCCCTGAGATCTACTGTGGAGGTTTTGGGCAGAGGATGGGATGGGAGCTCCTCTGAAGTACTATAGAAAGTAGCTGGTGAGAAAATGCAAACACAAAACAGGTGGCATAGTGATCCACTATGCCATCTGCATGGCTCTCTGAAATGATGATTCTTGATATACTTTAACCGTGATAAATTTCTAGAATGTAATAGCAATAAAGAGTAATACTATTTTTGAAAATATATTTGGTGGGTTGTAAATGTGTACAAAATATGAAATATTCCCTATTTGATTGTTTACTATTGTATCATTCACAGATGGAAATAGAAAAGCTCAAGAAAGCTGTCATAGCCACATGAAAAAGCTACATACCGTGGATCCTTAACGTGCCAGGATTTCAGAGTCAGAAATGAAATTGACTTTAACTTCAAGCCAACAAATGATAGCATTCCACTAAAAAAAAGCTGAATATAATCTTATTTATATTCTGTGAGCTATGAGAAAAAATGGATAGCTTTTTTGTTTGTTTCTTGCCAATATAGGAGAGGCCTTATTTCTTACTGTGCAGGTATGGCAGGGTTTGCTTGAAAATACTACTGAATCTGTATAAAAAGGGGGTTCTTAGTAGATTTTTATTGAATATACCCTAATTTTAAGAGATCTGTACTATAAATAAGGCAATATAACTTTGAAAATAATCTGTAAAATAGAGTATAGGAGAGAGGCAGATGGTATAGTTTTGTATTCATTATGGTGACTACCTTTTCCACCATGCTAAAGGGAATATGATGTTAATCATATGGTGTTTTATAGTTCTGATCTTTTGAGTTTGTTTTCACTATGAAGCAGAAGGATCACCAAACCCTAGCACTATGACCTTTTAATATTCCTTTAACTGAGAACTCAGTACTGTTTCTTGCACTGTAGGACTCATAGAAAGGGTTTATAATTGGAGCACATGGACGCATACAGACATGCAGATACTCAGAAAAATCTAAGCATAAAATTGAGATAATCCTATAATATGACATTATCCCTAATTATTGCAGAATGTGATATGTTAAATATTCTTGTTTCATTTCTTTTCACAAATTATAATCTAACACTACAATATTGTCAGCTTTAAAAATGCTTTGCACTAATAATTGTAACATTTTAAAAACCTTCATATAACAAAATGTTTATAGCTGCCAGTTTTCATTTTAGAAAATATAGTTTTCTAAATGCAGTCTTAAAATAAGGGTGTATCATCTACAAGGCTATTACAGTATTCAGTAAATCAGTAATGGATTTTTAGATAAATATTTGGCTTATGCTTTAGAAGTCAAATCAAATTACTGTATATTTAAACACGGACTCTTTGAGTCATCTTGTTTAATTTATTTCCACACTCTAAAATACAAATTTATACATACAAATTAAATAAATAAAATCCCATTTTTTTTCCTGTAAAGAAGAGAAACTGAACAAGTTCAGTGCTCTGTTCAAGCCAAAGGTAAAAATACAGTTCAGCCCTTTTATTCCTCTAGCATTGCTATCCTAAAACATTATAGAAAGTGTTTCAAGAATGATTTTAGGCTTGTTCTAAGTCAATGGAAAGTTTTGATGCTTATCTCCTGCTTTAGATGACATTAACATTTTGTCTTACTTGGATGTGAACAAACCATGTTGGTGTTCTTAACATGAAAAAAATATTTCTAATTCCAGTTATAAATCAATGGATTAAAATGTGGAAATGAAAACATGGGTGTATAAAGTCATGATGCTTGTTTGCTTACTATATGGATACAGAGCTAATGACAAATATCTAATATATCAGTTTAGTTAATGATCATCCTATTGCCAGTTTTCCTTAATAATCACAGTAATAAATAATGTTCTCAGATTATTAAGTTCTTGCTCAACTCTTAGAGATAATCTTATACTAATTTTTAATTGTTAAGAGATTCATAATTCTTGGCTTAGTAGTCTAAATCATTACTTGTGTTTATTGGCCATTTTGCGGTTTCCATGCAGAGAATTCAGAGATGGGAGGCATGTTTAATCTAGAACTGATATTTTGCAAGCAGTCCTCTGCAAAGCTCAGATAGGAAAAAGAAAGAAGCCATCTTCTTCAACAAGCGTGGTGGACTAACAAATGAAAAAGGTGTCCATCCTCCAAGAGGCACCTTCACCAGAAGTACCTTCGTATTTTGCTGCTGCTGTCCCATCCAGAGCAAGTAGGGAAAAAAGCTATTCCCCCCTTTGTCATAGGAAAAAAAAATTTTTTTTTTTGCTTTCCTTGAATAGCAGCAGTTACGCATTCTCAGTGCCCTTTCAAAAGCAAAATTTGCAAAATAGAAGCTTAGAAACCATCTGCCCTTTTCCCCCCAATGCTCATTAAAGTATTGTTCCCAGTTCCCAGTATTGTTATTTTGTTCCCAGTACAAGTATTTCTGAAAAAAGCTTCAGCCCTGACTTTGTTATCTACCCTCCCCTCCCCTCCCCCCAATCACAGAAATGAGAGAGTACAGGGAATTTTAAAAAGTGACTTTGGGTTTTCCCCCAAAAGAACAAAAACAAAAAAAAGCAATGAGACATAGTTCATACTTTCTTGCAAACACTCCAGCTTAGAGCAAAACCGCCATTTCTTTATTCCATGCCCCCACACAAGGAAAACAAGGTTTTTTTCCCCCCTCTTGCAAGGGATTTTTTTAAAAAGCTGCAAGGATTTTTTCACTAAAAATCCACCTCTTCCTGCTGGTAACTGAACTTGAAGGGAAAATGACTGCTTCTTCATCCCTCCAGGAGAAGGAAGGGAATGAGTTTTCTCTTCCCTTTGTGCTTTTGCAGAAGCAGAAATAATAGAAATGGTGCCTTAAAAAGAAAAGCCTTACTTGCACTAGTCAAAACACATTTCTGTTCCTTCCCAGAGCTATATTGTTCCACAAGTGGGGCTTTTGGTGAAGTACAGAAATTGGACAGAGTGGAACCATACACCCAGTAAGAAGAGATAGATGTACTGACCTCTGTAAATTGATTAGATCCATCCCAAATTAAACAAATGGCCTTGCGTGTTGGAACTCAAGAGCTTTTTGCTGATACCAGTTCCTTTACATTCTACAGTGATTATGCAAACAATAATTGGTTTTAATTAAAGAAAAATCATTTATATGCTCCTTATTGTGATCCTGAGCGTGTGGCAGAATGGTATTAATATTGTTGCAAAGGTTTTTTCTACCTTGAATCTTATAGCAGATAAATAGGACAATCATGGAACTCAGAAGTTTAATTATTGTCTTTTTCCTGTAGCAATAAATAACCAAGTGCAATGACTTGATGTAATAAACAAATCCTAGAAATTGCCACTATGAAGTTTTTTTAGTGATGGTTATTTTCTCTAATGTCTGTCTTTATACTTTATGATGGGAAATGGGACTGGATGCAGACATTCCAAAGAATAAAATTTATTTCAAGCAGGAATCTTCACTGACTTGTTTACAGGTGCTGTAAAATGATGTATGCTATCAAAATGTCACAAATAAAATTATACGCTGTTAATATGTTAATGCATTTTTGTTCAAAAGCATTCAAACGCCTTTTATGTGATTCAGCTGTAATTGTGTACAGAGAAAAGGACAGTCATGTGATTGCAAGACAGAAATAATTCAAATTACATGTGAGAAATGAGGAAAGAATGCCTTTTGTCACCACTGATTTTCAGTATTTAGTTTTTAAGATATTAATACAATAAAATGAAATTTGTATTAGGTGGAATAGGATAACATTATTTAATATCATGGTCTTGAATTCAAAACCATCTTTGGGGAGATGAATGGAAATATTAGGGACAGTTGGAAATCTGATTAATATAAAATGGACGAGACAAAAGCTGAATACTTACAAGGTATTCTTGCTCATAGTGAAACAAAGTAGGAATTAGACATCTGGGAAGACGGAAGTCTTTCCTTCCAAAATACTAAACAATCCAGTTAAGGACAGCATTTCCCCTCTAAAGCCAAGATGCAACCTGTTGTGTAAGAGTGGGCAACCTGTGCCCAAAACAATGTTTGGCCTTTTTCTTTCTTCACTGTGAAGTATTACAGAGAAAGCCTTGTTAATTATAATAAACAAGTCCCCAGTATTAAAGTATAGCAACAAAATAGAAGGTTGGCACTGCAAATATATTTAATGATGCTTTTAATTTCTCTAAATCAGTTTAGCCTGATCACAGAGTGAGGTATTGAGCAACTGTAATTCTCTTTAGCCTGGAAGAGTTTGGCTACAGTCTGTCTCTGATCAACCTTAAAAGTTATGACAAAAAAAAGTTTCAGAATTGCTAGTAAAAGGTATGCTCACAATGCTTTTCTCATTGCCTTTATTTTCATTTAAAAATAGACCTATCTGCGAAGGAACCACTGAAACGAGCAGTTAAGTTCAGTTTATGCCACCAAACAATTCTGTCTCCTTAAGCGTGGCCAAATTTTGCCACGTAATACAGTGCATTTGGAAAGTATCCAGACCCCCTTCACTTTTTTCAATTTTGTTATGTTGCAGCCTAATGCTACAATCGTTCAAATTCATTTTTTTTCTCATTAAACTTAACTCAATAACCCATAATGACAAAGTGAAAACAAAATTTTAGAAAAGACTAAC